TATAGGAAACACACAAGGTTGAGCACAGTCTTATAGAACAAATTGAAATATTATAGGATACAAAATAGGTTTAAAGACAGTCCTATAGGACAAAATGAAATCTTATAGCATACACACAAAGTTAAGCTCAGTCTTATAGGAAACAAAGGAGGTTTAAACTCAATCTTATAGGACAAACAGAAAAATCCTACAAAGATACAAAGGACGGATTCACAAGACTTAAAACACTTTTAATAAAAAATTACCATTAGATATATCCTGCAAATGTAAGATTTTCAAATTATTGTTTCCATAAATATGATATATAAGTGTATTTTTGTTGGGCTAAGTGAGTTTTGTAAGCCATTGGATCACCAGTTTCTATATGAGAGAAAATAACGTATACATAACCAGTGCTCTATAGAAATCTCCTAAAATTTTGTATTAATTCCAAACATTCTTGGACAGCATTTTAAGTAGGTCATTATAATCTTTAGGAATAGTTATCACTCATTGTTTAATACATAAATCATGTAAAGTGATAGTTGATAAGAATTTAATAATATAGAATTAACCAGTATGAGTTTTACTAAGCAATTAAATTTTTTCTAAATTAATTTTAATGAAAGAAACATACATAAATGTCAAAGAAACATTTTATATTCAAAAATAATAGCACACGTGATAATACACAGTTAAATACATTATATCAAATAATTTCATTTTTAAATACAAATACAAACAGAAAAACTTTGATCATATACATTACATTAACCATACTAGTTAAGCATTAAAATCAGTATGTGTTTTTAGTTAGCTTAATACATAATTGTTTTGGTAACTATATGTATAACCAAAGAAAAACATAAAAAATTCAATGCAGGCTTTTTTATTTAATCTTTCTGTTTTATGTTTGATGTTATGCATACATAAAGTTTGTTATCAATTTTCATTTTGACACATTTTTTTTTAATATATTTTACAAATAATGCATCAACTTGTTGAACTTCTTCTTTCCATTAAAAGATTTGTGGAGATATTTAAAGGTGCTATATTAATAAAATATTTAACTTTTATTACTGGTTTTACTAGAACAATAGCAATGTTTTTATGACCTCCACACATTTCATTTTCACAATTAACTACTATAGCAGCAACAATGTCCTCAATTTTGCCATTTTAAAACTCTACTATAGAGTTTGATTATTTTGTACTACTTTTAGAGCTCTGTGTATGGTATAAATCATGCTTAAAAATAAATCTGTCATCAAACATACCTTTTTCCCTCAAATTACATGTTTTACCAAGCAATCTACAAATTGAAATGTGTTGAGTAACTGAAATTTTACGATCTTCTGGAAGACCAAGAGTGATAAATTCACTACCAAGTTTTCTAGAATGTAACAACTGAATCCCCATAGAGCCTAGTAATTTGCTAAATAAACACCTCACATGTTCATTCTGTGTTTGCAAGATTCTTGTTTGTTTCTGAATTTCTTGGAGAATACAGTAAGTCTCATAGATCTGCTTAGAGATTAATTGTGTTTCTTTAAAAAAAACAATTGAACTCTGTTATAATCTTCATATATAAAAGCAGAGGTTGACTAGCATTAGTTTTACTAAGCAATTCAATTTTTCTAAATTAATTTTAATGAAAGAAGAATACAAAAATGCAGAAAACTTTTCTTGAAATGTGCAACAAAAAATGAATGTTGATTGTCTGTTTGTTTTGAATTTCGCACAAAGCTACACAAGGGCTATCTGTGCTAGCCGTCCATAATTTAGCAGTGTAAGACTAGAGGGAAGGCAGCTAGTCATCATCACTCACCGCCAACTCTTGGGCTACTCTTTTACCAATGAATAGTCGGATTGACTGTCACATTATAATGCCCACACAGCTGAAAGGGCGAGTATGTTTGGTGTAACGAATATTCGAACCCGTGACACTCAGACTGAGAGTCGAGCGCCCTAACCACCTGGCCATGCCGGGCCTTGTTAATAGTAATATGACACTGTCCATACAGAATTTCAGTTTCTTTCACAAGTCTCCTTACAAGTTCCACCTTTTCAACAGTTGATTTGGCAACTAAATCTTTAAGAAGTTTGTAAATTTAATACACAAAAAGTGCCCAGTGTCTTAACTAACTCACAGGTAATATATTGGAAAGGGTAAGGAGTGAATAATATTGTAAAATGATCACCATTCAGATGCTTTCCAGTATTTCCTATCAAGAAGATACCTTGGAGTTCTTGTGATTTCTTCTGGTGGTGTAATTTGTTTAAGATATCTATCAAGTTCAGTGAAGTGACTTTCAATATACCATGGAGCCTTGTGATGTTTTCAATCTAGCCATAAAAACAAACATTCTAACAACACTTAGTAGCACACAATGCATGTATTCATGTATCCAAGATCTAATGATGTTGAAAAGAGGTAAAAATAGCAAAGGAGAGGGTCCCTTGACATCACTGATAGGATGTTAAACTTCTACTGCTTGGATAGCAGAAAGCACATCCATACAATTCATTAAACATATTTGTATTTCTAAGCTGTGGTCTTGCAACTGAATCAGTTGAGCAGACATGAATATGCACTTTTACTCTTTCTCTTCTTGGGAACCAAGAATAATACCTGTATCGTGGAGTTCTTTTAAATCATCCACAAATGTCTTCAAGTAAACCTCAATGCTCAAAACAACTAAAATATTTATAAAACAAATGTTTAGATAGTTTTGGAAATTCTCCTCTCAAACATGATAATAGTGACAGCATATCTTGCAATGCATCATCTGAAAGCTTATGTTTGATAACATATGACAGAATTAATAGTACACTTTCTTTCAGGGAGGAATGTTTCATCCTTACTTGTAGCCTGTGAAAAATAAAAGAAAAAAACATCAAAATAAATTAAGAAATATTTTCCATAACAAAAGTTATTCTTACTCTTTGTTGTTTCATCATTGAACATAAAAATATAAACAAGAAATTATGTAGTAGATAAAAAATTAAAATATTTTAAGAGATTAATTATCTTGAAATGTTCCAATATAATTATTTTTATTTAAATTCTGAGTTTTCAACTTACACACATACATAACCTACAAAAATACATTATACTTTTGTTTAGAAATATTTAGCACAGTTTCCACAGATGTTTTCCCAATTTTAACTTTCAATACTGGAAAAATAAAATAGCAAAATAACTCACTGTACATATAATTACTACAAGAGTAACAAGCTTAATATTTTTAATAAACAATGTCTTTTAAATGAATACTCACTTTCTCCTTAGCACCACCTTGGTCATTCTGCCTCCTCTGAATTGTTGGTTGGTGTTCTTCATTGAACATCTGGTTTCTCTCATCCACTTCACTGCCTGTCTTCATATAAATGTAAAATTAAAAGAAAACTTCATAGGTCTTTCAGGACAACAGTGCACATGTATACATTTAAATTATATACTACATGATAAGGAATAAACTTAAATACTTAGAAAAATTTTATATATTAATTATTGTCATTAAAACCAGAAGGCAATATATAACAAATTTGCTATATGATCCTACTGAATCCTTTAGGATGTTTTATAGGACTCGTGTAGGATATTTTTGTAAAGGTGATATTTTCATACCTATTTAGTTTTGTTATTGTATGTGTGTACTACTGACATTTTAATGCTTGTTGATTTTTGTGATTCTTTATGTAATACTGAGATTTTAATATTTATTGGGTTTTGTAATTGTGCATGTACTGGTGAGATTATAATATCTATTTTTATAACTGGGTGTATAAAACTACTGAATACTTTAGTTCTTCCTTGTTTCATTATTAATACTGTCTTTGCTCCATCTAACTAAGCTCACCAACTGCTGTGGGACTCTCTTCTTCCTGGGATACTAATAAGTGATGTCTCATGGCACCCTATCATATGTTTTTTCCAAATCTACAAAGCACCAATACCACTTCCCTCTAAAATATTTTCCTGCCATTCCCATTCAATGCACTCCTATTTCAAAGCTATTATCATTTTCATTACCATTTCAGATGGATCACTCAATTTCTCAAGCTTCATTTTGTCAATAACTCTCTTTACCTCCAACCCTCTGAATACTTCCACTGGACCTTCAATGACTGCCACTTCTTCCGAAACCCTTCTATCATTTTTAACATTCATCATTTCTTCATAATACTTTTCCTATCTCTTCTTAATGTCCTTTTCATCAACGTGAATACAATCCTGTTGATTCTTTATTAAATTTATGATGGTTTGTTTCATACTAAAATATCTTTAAGTCACTACCAAGGTATTACCATATAATTTCACTGTATTACTTTATCAGACTATTCGTATTTTTAAAAAGTCGTGGTATTACTTTACCAGTATGTTTTTCTTCAACTAATTTTATTGCTACTTTACCAGATCATTGTTATACAAGTAGTTATCCTGTTTTACTTCAGCAGATCTTTGTTCTACAATTGTTTTTCAGCAAATTTTCAAAACAATGAAACCAGGATCACTTCTATTATTCATTGAAAATGCTGGTGGAAGAAGTTACCAGGTAATGGACCAAGAAGCTTCAAAGTATGGGTTGCTTCAGGTAATAGAACCAATTCTACACTACCAATACAAAAGTAGTAATTTATACTTAACAAGTTTTTTTCTTCTTTTGAAGAAGCATATGAACATGAATCCTCTGAAAACGACAAAGCTTTCCATTGCTGTTTGGCAAAAAAAACCTCTTAATTACAGCCTTCAGGACATGCAAATCGATATAAGGCACTATCAGTTAGCAAATTTGCAATTATCTTTCTTAGGTAACATAATGACCTTTGAGGATACAGAGGAAGAAATAAGTAAAAGGAAAACCAGAAAATGTTCTAGTATGATACCAAACTATGAATATGAATATGGCAGAAACTTCCAGCCAAGCAGGCCACAAACTGCAAGTCTCGCACCAGCCCAGTCAACAAGTATTCCAACTGCCCACTATTCACATTCTGTGAATACCATATCCTCTTTACCAAGGAGACCACAAACAGCAAATCTTGCACCAACCCAGTCAACAAATATTCGAACTACCCACCATTCAAGATTACTGAGTTATTGCACAATTATTTGATTTACTTTATGAAATATGTTTCTCATATTAATTCTTAAAATAATCAAATAATTGTTTGTTTTTCAAGCACTACAAATAATTGAGCTGTAAAATTAGCATTAACATAACTGATTTTATTTTATATCTTTTTCTCCTTCAGTTGGATTAATATCTTCCAATGCTAAAAATATTTATTGAATTTGCTTAATTTACACCATTCTTCAAATGAAGTACGTGACGTGTAATGAAAATGTGAAATTACTAACTTTTAAACAAAAGTTCAATATTGATGCTTAATTTTGATTAAATTGCTTATATTTACATTTGTATTTTTTTTTCTTTCTGTTTCTTTTTAAAGATCTTGCGCAGGAAAAAAGCCTATTGTTCACAAAACCTTTTACTGAAGAATACCTTTTCCACGGGTTATTCTTAACTCTTTCCCAAAAATTACAGTTATACAGAAGGTGAGATCGGTATACGATTTTTGAGCTTCAACACGTTTTTACAGTCCATGTCACCAAGTCTGGTCATGTCGTACCTGACAACCGTGAATCTTGACAATATTCCTACAGTGTAGTTTCCATTTCAAAAGATTCCATCATAAGACTGTTATGTCTGAAGCAAACCATCCCTCCAGATAGGCTTTCCATAGAGCATCTTGTACATGAGAATGACAATTTTCCAGAGCCCTTTTCAACTATCCAATTGCACAAAAATCTATAGGTACTGCATCTGGTGATTTGACTGGTATGATTTTGGATAGAATAGCATGGAGACCCATTTCATTCTCCAGCTGCTCGAGGAATGTGATAATTGAACAGATATGTTTTAGTAGAAACTTGTATTCACTAGTCACTTTTCCAGATAAAGATCCTTCTTTGTTATGTTGTATATTGCTGCCCAGACACATGGACAAATTTTGTCACTAACCTTTGTGTTCATGGATCTTGACCTGCTTTAAGACATGACACTTTGCTTATCATAGCTGGGGTATGACTGGTTGCAAGGCTATTTGGAATGGTCCTTGTTCTCCGAGTTGATTCATATGCTTCTGTTTCCAAATGCTATTAAGTGCAAGAGATATTCTTATCTTTTAAGTTCTAAACCCCCGATCTGAACACTTCTTCATGATCCAACTATATCACTATTTTGTTATATATCCTTCCCTAAAGTGATCAGTTTTTGGTGATATCACACTATCTATGAAACAGTAAACAGTGTTACAATATAATTATGATACAAGTAATTCACTGTTACTTAATATAATGTATTATGCTTTAAATTTGGTTGGTTGGTGCTTTATGGCGCGAAGCAACGAGGCTATCTGTGCCAAACAACCAGTAAACACAGTGAAAGTAAATTAAAATAAAATGTAAAAATACAGAGAGTTAAAACCAAAATATGCCGATAAAAGATTTATATACAATTAAAAAGACGTATAGTGTGTAAAAAAATAAAAATACAATCTAGTCGGATAGTGTCACCATTACCAATGACACTGTCCAACGTCAGGGATAAACTCTTAGAAAATGCGTGTCTGAAATGGTGCCGCCGCTCACGGTCGTAACGATGGCACGACAGTAAAATGTGGGCTATTGTGACTTGAGTGTCACAATGGCTACACATTGGTGAGTCAATACCGGATAAAAGAAAATGATGGGTTAAAAAACTGTGACCAATGCATAGCCTTGCCAAGACAACATCCTCCTTCCGATTCTAACGGAAGCAAGATGGCCAAAGAACAACATAATGTTTGATCTGTAAAAGCTTGTTATGACGTTGCTCACCCCAAGTCGACTGCCAACTGGCACGAAGCCACGCCTTGAAGACAGGACCGTAGTCTATGTATGGGACAGGCACGGCCGTGACGGCACCAGAGCAGACGGACTTAGATGTGGTGTCAGCGAGTTCGTTCCCATGAATACTGACGTGGCCAGGTATCCAGAAAAACTGGTGGGAACAGAAGATAGAGAAAAATGGGCCAGTCGTTGTTGAATATCGACGAGAACAGGGTGAGAACTAACGTTAAGCGATTCCAGGGCCAGCAGAGAGCTAAGAGAATCAGTGTAAATAGTACAATCACTGTACTGCATAGCTTCTACATGATCCAGGGCCAGTAGAGATCTAAGAGAATCAGTGTAAATAGTACATTCACTGTACTGCATAGCTTCTACATGATCCAGGGCAAGAGAAATAGCATACAACTCGGCAGTGAACACAGAAACTGTGGAGGGGATCCTGCGAGCAACTACTGAGCCACAGCACACCATGGCAGAACCTACAGAGTCACCCGATTACGAACCATCTGTGTAAATAAGAAGAGAAGAATGGCTTAAAAGATGTTCAGCAAAAAGAAGATGGTACTTCCAATCGGGAGTATCTGCCTTCTTCAGATGACTCAAGGAATTGTCACTGGAATGGATGATAATAAGCCATGGTGGAATAGGCTGATCATTGGGAACAGCAATGTCATCCAATGCCAGACCCAATTCAGCCCGTTGTGCCCCGGATACGAAGGCCAAAGGGAGGAATAGCAGAGCATCTGTTCTGAAAGAGCATGGCCTACTGAGGAAAAAAGATACAATCCCAGGTTGGATGCCATTGTAACGATCAAAACTTGGTAGCATATTGTAAAGAACATTGCAAACAATGCAGGTGAAGAGGGGGTTCGTGGGACTTAGTACACAAACCCTGGATTGGAGAAGTGTGAAAAGCCCCAGTGCAGAGCCAAAGCCCCAAGTGGTGAATGGGGTCCAGAATCTTCAAGGCTGAAGTCCTGGCAGAACCATAAACCAAAGACCCATAGTCTAGTTTGGATCGAATCAGGGCACAATAGATCTTGAGCATAGAACATTGATCTGCTCCTCAAGAGGTGGAAGAGAGGACACGGAGGATGTTCATAGCCCTTGTACACTTGACACGTAGCTGCTTAATGTGTGAGATGAAGCTAAGCTTATGGTAAAAGATAAGCCCAAAAAACATTGCCTCAGGGTCCACACAAATGACTATATCGCCGAGAAGGAGCTCGGGATCGGGGTGGAGAACCCCTTGGTGGCAAAAATGTATGGAAACGGTTTTGGAACAAGAAATTGAAAAACCGTTTGCAGTGGTCCACGTCAACAATCAATTGAAGGCAGTCTGAAGCTGCCACTCAATAAACCTCATGTACAATGAACAACACGAAATGTGGAAGTCGTCAACACAGAGTCCATTTCAACAGTAGGAGCAAGGTGTGTAGTGATAGCATTAATTTTGATACTAAAAAGTGTGACACACAAGACACAGCCCTGAGGGACTCCAAGTTCCTGTGTAAAAGAACGG